AAAATTTTGTTCATTTCTCGTTCAATTTTTAACCAAATTCAACCACATTTTAATCAGTTCTTCCTTAGCCGATGGGAAATGCATTCAAAAAATTTCGTACGGATATGTTTGGTATTTCTTGAGTTATCGTGCTCACAGACAAACGCACACACACACATACACACACACACACATACAAACCCAGATGATTACATAACCTCCTGGCGGAGGTAATTAATTCTTTCAATAACACGTGGATAATTAATTCATTTTATTTCGAATATCGAAGTCCGATCCGATCCGACTGCGAATATATTTTGTTCCGAAATTATATTTTTGTTCCGAAATCCGAACGAATCCGATCGGATTCGGATCGGATTTGCACACCTCTAGCGAACATACATCAATTATGTTTGCCATATTAGAACATGTATCAATTATGTTTTAATATGGCGGCCGCACGTGTTAATGAAAGCGGCAGAGTTTGTATGTTTAATACCACACGACTCTTGATTTTAGAATCAATCTGTAGACTTGGTTCAAGTCATTCTCCGAGTTGTTTTCGACTCGCAAGCCACATCTCCATAGGAAAAATACGACGGTAAAATTTGGTACGCTTGCAAGGTACCCAAGTCCTTCTCTCTCTACTTTTCTTTCATTTTCCCGCGCCTATTTTGACCGCTTGCGTGTGATCGTTATTTTCAGGATCGCTATTTTCTACTACTTGAGACTTCAACCAAGTCTAGTCAATCTATAGCGACGCAAATAGTGGTTTTAGCTAGCTTATGATGCTATACGATAGGAAACGGATCAAGTGGCTCAATGACTTCAACTCGATGACGATTCTTGTCGAAAATGTTGTCGAAAGATTGCGAAAATAGACTTCGCCGGGAGAACAATCTCGAAAGTTTACTAATTCTGCGTCTGACTTGATCATGACTTGGTACTATGGCAAACAAAAATCTCTATTATCTCAATTGAAGCTGGTCATGATTTGAAAGAAGCATTAATTGATACAAATGTGTGTGAAAGAAATCATCCTCATACGATATAGTACAGACAATTTTTAGTGAAAGACTGGAATCATCTGCTCAATGCAACGGCAACACAGCTTTCATTCAATGTCTGGGACTATACTATTATAATTGGAACTGAACCCGACAAGTCCATAGTAGAGGTGACCGCTAAATATATAAAAATGGTTGTTCTTTGCAAACCTTAAGGAGCAGTCTCTGTAAGAACACTAAAGAATAATTTGTCAGTTGACTTATTATTTGACGTTCGTCAGCTATTATTCTTTAGTGCTAAACACTTTCGATATCTTAATGATTATTGTAGACACAGTCTCGCAAATAAATCTTCATTCTTCGTCAGCAGACTATGCTAATCAATTCCTCCATCGTTATAAATCAATTTTGTTATTGCTATGGCGGAAGCCGCTAACCAGCCAAATAATTCGGCTGTCAAACGTAGTCTTGGAGAATTTTGCTTCCATCAAACAAAGATTATATGACAATGAAATCATGATACACAATAGTGGCTTTGGTGGCCTTCCACACAATAGTCGCTTTATATGTCCTAAGTAACAAGGTATCTATAAATATTTCAAATATATTTTCTAAATATAGAAACGTTTCTATGTTTAAAAAAATTTGATGTAATCTATTTCATTCGTGACAGACTATAAAATAGAGATTTTGAAGTTCCTTAAAAATGGGTGAAATAAAAACTCCAAAATTCAGACGTTAGTTTAAAGGTGATCTACAGTCCGATCTGCGCATGTGCACAAATGAGCCCACTTTTTATGATACAAACAGTTTAACTATGTTTTGAGTTCTTGAAAAGTCTGATTGTTGTTTCTTGATCATTTATTATACTCTAGAAGCTTGAAAATATAAATAGTTGTCGAATAAAGCTCAATATTTTGGACACAAAAATGTAAACAAAGGCTTTGTTTACATACGGACTGTAGATCACTTTTAAGATCACTTTTTAGAGTTTAAGAGGCAGTCTCTGTATAAGAACCTCATGACCTGTTTGGATCAAGAAATATATTTCTCTCAAACTTTGTAGTTGAGATTGCCTTTGTAAGGGTTGTTTGAAAATGCACTTTTTTTCTAACTGCATTTTGACAAAGTTCCAGAGGGATCAAGTTAATTGAGAGCTGAAATTATGATTTTTGCTGTTTCTCAACCTCGATTTTTACTGATTTGTAAACCTCTGTACATAAAAAAAAAGTAATGATAAAATTAAATCCTTCCACACAATAGTAGCTTTATACTGTATGTGTTAAGTAAGAAGGAATCTATAACTTTTTCAAATATAATTGTTTTTGTTTGTGGAAACACCACGTAAATTTATTACTGCATTTTTACAACGTTCCAGAGGGATCAAGTTAATTGAGAGCTGAAATTATGATTTCAAAAATCATAATTGAGCAAAAATCATAATTTCAGCTCTCAATTAACTTGATCCCTCTGGAACTTTGTCAAAATGCAGTAATAAATTTACGTGGTGTTTCCACAAACAAGAACAATTATATTTTATCGCCATGCAAACATTCAAAGAACTTATTTTTCAAATATGTTTTCTAAATATAGAAAAGACCTCAGTCATTCATGACAGACTGAAATAGAGATTTCCAAGTTCTTTAGAAATGGGAGAAATATATACCCCAATATTCAAAAGTTAGGCTTGTCATGAATGTAGTACTATTTGTGGTGCTGAGATTAAAGGCTGATCTTTCATAATGTAAAATAAAATATTGCAGCCTGTAAATTTTTGGGGTACCACAAATGAACAAAACATCAACATTTTCCACTTTGGGGGTTGGGTGTCGTCTTGTTTTGACTACATTTTCTTTTACAATTTTGACCATCTTCTAAAAATTTACCCAAATATGTTGCCGGGAGGGGGTAGTCATCAAAACATTTTTCCCGACTAAGATAAGTAAACTTTAAAATTTTTCCTGGACAAACATTAGCAAAGCTTTACATTATTTCCAGACAAATATAACCAAGTATTAGAAATTGTTACAAATTGGGAACGATTTTATCACTGTGTTGCGGACACACCCACCAATTAGAAACTTCGGTATCCAGAACATCAAACCTTTACGACGTAGCTAAAATAAAAATATATTCTGTCAAGCCCTCACTTGATAGATAGTGGATTGAAAGGTAACTTTGCACGTTATCGGTACAATGAAGCGACTTCACCAACTCACCAAGGACGAGTTTCTACGAGATTCACCACAAATTTGATGGAAGAAGCTAATTCGCTGACCTCAGAATGACATTTCGTCAATATTTTTCTTCAGGATTGGTTTAGAAACAAACTTAAGCCTAGTTTCCATTTGGTCGTTAGTTGTCGCTGGCACGACAAGTGACTGATGTAATAGAGTGTCAACAAAACTTTTTAAACCCCTGCAATCATTAAGACGGATTTGCATATAACACACAAAAGACTATTATTATGTTAGACTATTTCACAGCTACCGCTTATCGTGCCAGCGACAACTAACGACCAAATGGAAACTAGGCTTTAGAGTGAGGTTAGGTTAGGGTTATAGAGTTGGTGTTTGGAATAAAGTTTGGGTTAGTAAAACCATTGCTTTGTTACGTTTTGTTATTCTGAGGCCAGCGCAATAACCTCTTCTAATTTTGATTGGCGTGAAAGCAAACAATTCTCAACATGCTGCATGTGTTTTCGAGAGCCGAATTATTTGGCTGGTCAGCGGCATCCGTCATAGCAATAACAAAATTGAGTTATAACGATGGAGGAATTGCATGACTAGCATTGCCTGTTGACAAAGAATCAATGTTTATCATTATAGAAGTTAGACTGTGTCTGCAATAATCATTAAGATATCCGAAAGTGATTAACTTACACTAAAATAAAGAATAATGGCAGCTGACGAACGTCAAATAATAATTCAACTGACAATCGGGACCATTGAATCACAAGGCTGTCGATCGAGGCATATGTTTGTATAAAATTACATTGGGGCAGGTTTTCCGGGGCCGTAAGCAAGGGGGGTATTGTGGGGTTGTTAACCCTTCTCCCCCCCCCCCCCCCC